TTCTCTTAAAATACTCTACCACTCACGGTAAACTTGTCTTGGCACCAAACACACCTCCGCGTTTGCTCAGCTTTAATACCACTTTGCATCATCCCTTGAGCATCACTTTACATGGGTTTGCAGCCCACATTTCTTAGCAGCTACCTATTTAGCCCCCATTTATTAGCAGCAGCAACTGAAATCATCTGGCTTAGACTCCTTTTTAGCAGCAACAGTCTTCTTTGTCAAGCTAGTGGATTGGGAAGTATTCCTCCCCATATGGAAGCCATACAGCATCCACATACACGGGAGGTTTTCACTGATTTTACTGGGATTTGAAGAATGGTGTTGATCCTTATTTGTAAGGCAGTAAATAAGGTATTTCAAATCTTGCAGGAAAATATTTCCACAGAGCCATTCTGTGATCCAGTTCTCCCTGAGATATGCTTGAATTCATCCATGGGAATTACTCACACCTTGTGGAGCACAGCACCCAAGCCAAGGAAAAGTTTTTTGCCACTTTTTTCATATACAGCAGCTATGGGAGTTTGAAAGAGGCAGAGGCATTGCTGAAGATCTCTGTTAGCTGCTTGATGCTTCATAACTCAGTATCCCACCCCTTAGGACTCAAAGTGTTGTCCCTATACCTGCTGGAAAATAGCAGCATTTATCATTCCAAGACATGACAGTAGCAGCAATGGTAGATGGGCATACAGTATCCAGCATGTCTATAGGTCTTTGAGAAAAGAAAGTATAATAAGAAATCTTCTGAGGTTGCTTAGTTAATACAGTTTAGGTAGTGATGAGTGAAAACAAATCAAACAGAGAGGAAATTAAGTTCATGTGACAGATATTTGTCACGCTACTTAATACAGTGCTAGATGCTTCCGTGATAAAGACAGATTGATTTTTAACTCACATATCCAAACAAGTGTTGTGCATTCATGCTGTTTGGGGCATATTGAACTGCCAACCTTTCTCAGCCTTCCAGGCTAACCTTGAGACAGCCCTGAGATAAAAATAGGTAGGCAGAAAATAATTCAAACTGCTTGTTCTTGAGCACACAGAGAAAGCCTTTGATTCACTTTTTTAGTATCATTAGAACCTGAGACCACAATCAGGAGTGGACACTTTCTGTATTCAGACAAAAAATGGAGGGTAAGCAGTACAGTAACCAGAAATCTCTAACCTATTCCACATCTGAGATATTTTTTTATTTCCCCCTTAGGAAAAATACCCCATCACAAACAAAAAAGTTATTCATTTGTCTGCAGGTTGGCTAAAAATCATGTCAATTAAAGTAACAACAGCTTTAATGTTCAATCAGTTGTAACCAGATTCCAAAGTTAACAGATTGTCTTAAAAAAAACAAAAGAAGCTCTCACCTTTCTAGGTCTTCTCATCTGAATCTAACTACAGAGAAGTTAAGGCTATGAACCAGCAGTATCAGCTACAAAAAATGTCTTTACAGGACATTTTAGGAGAAAAATCCAAAACTTTAGCTCTGTCTCTTGGCCCTCTACTCTGAGACACAAACCCTCTGGTGGTCCAGCTACTCAAGCTGTCTCGCAGGGGAGAGCAAGAAGAAACCTTGTCAGCTGTTATTGATTATTAATTTATTATCAAATTTTATTGTAGCCTTCCTGTTCTGTGACAGATAAACTGTGTCAAGAAATTTATAGGTCTTTTGAACTTCCAGGCTAAAATGACAGTGGCTGTTAAATAGTGAGCTGTTATAAAAGAAGCTGAGGCCCCATAAAAGGAGTAAAATGGGATGAAAGGTGTCTCCAGAGATCTTCATCTCATCTCCCACAGCCTTACTGTCCACTGATTTCTGATTAATAGCTCATTAGAGGGTGGGGTAAATTTCTAAGAGAAAAGAAAAATGTGTGTTAAAATGGCATGACTTGCCAAAAACAGCAAATATAATCTCCTTCTTCTAAGGACAGTAAACAAACATTTAGTGATGAATCGGTATGGTCATTAAGCATTGACCTTAACTACCTTTATACTGACAATCCACAGTTATGTGAGGTGAAATCTGAGAAATCTTGAGCTTTCCATTAACAGTTATCAATCTTCCAAGAAATTTTCTAGGCCAAATTAAATAAATCATTTTTTTTCCTTTGCATATGCATGTCCAGGAGAAAAAATATTAAAGTTGTTGGTACCTTTCATGTAATTTAGATATTTAAATTATTATTATTTAAGGATATTCAGTACATTATTTTCTGTCAGCTGCAAAGGAGATATTTGCAGAATTATTTTGGAGGAAAATTAATGTAATTAATTTAATTTTTTATTTAATTTATTTAATTATTCGTTTTATTTAATTATTCATTTTATTTAATGTTTAATTAATTTTAAATTAATTTTTTTTATGGGAGAAAGATAAGGGGGTTTGTTGAGTTGATTTTTTTTTGTTTGTTTGGGGTTCTTTTATGTTAAAATAAAAAGCTGAATATTTGTAATATTTCTCTTTTTTCATGTGTGTTTAAAAAAAAAAAAAAAAAAAGAGATGGAACAACTCTTTTTTACTTAGTTTAAATTCATCAATACTTTCAGCTCAGCTGCACCCTCATTTTTGAAAAATCAACCACTTTTTCCAAAACTTCATCTTATAATCAAATATATCAGCTCAAAAGTACAGTTCACTCCTTAAAGCAAGTGGATGTGCAACTCCATTTACAGAATTATAGCCTAAGAAAAAGAGGAAGACTGAGAATCCCACTCTAAATCAGGCACCTGAAGCATTCATAAAACTTACCTATTATGTGAATTCCCAAAGGAGTGATGGTCAAAGCCATGCATACTCAAGGAGAAGTATATGTGAGATGTGGAGGATGACAGCATGCACTGGCCTATTTCTGAGGCCTGTTTTAACCTTCTTTGCAACCAAACATTTCCACGAAGTGTGGAAGTGTCCATGAGGACCATTTTGCTCACCCAAACAGAGGTCTTTGGATTCCCAGGTCCTCTCAAAGACACAGTAGTCCTCTTTACCCCATTTCTTCTCCTCTCCCACTCATCAGACACAACTGACAATGTCTTTCTCTCGCTCATGTGAGAGCATAAACCAGTTTCATTTCTAAGTTTCAACAAACATCTTCACACAAACGAACAAAATGATGAGTTTATAAGTGTTCTGAAGCAATTTCTCTTCTGTTTGTTCCTTTATGCTTGTGCATATTTTAAACATCTAGAACTTTCCCAAATACCATAATGAACCACCTCTTTTTGTTCCTTCTGAACCTTTGTGTGGCTTCATTGGATGGCCTGTTCTTGCACAGGCCAAGAGAGCAGAGGTAGATGAAATTCTACCCTACATGGCTTCCCTAAGCTTGGACAACAGATTAGCATCAGTTCTAAAGAAAAGGTACTCTCTTTCTGAAAAGTACTTTCTGAAAAGTACTTTTCAGTTTCTGCAGAAAGGTCTTAGTTTAACTGACCTTTTTTTTTTTTTTAAGGTAGAGGAATTCTATTTCTTATTTCCCATTCAGAAACGTTCACCCACCCAAAGATGGTGGATCTTTAAATCAATTAAAGGTCATCAAGCTGTCTTGCTTGTAGATGTTACTGCAGGGGAACAAATTGTTCACATCATTTTTGCTGGAATTGTAGGCTTAAATTCAGCAACTTGTTAAAGCAGTAACTGCAGCAATACTCAGAGCGAGTCTTTCTTTGTATTGTCTTTTATGTTTTTTCCTCCAGTCACTCCAGACTAGGATCTGTCCTAGTCAGCACCAACACAAGGCCCATCAGTGCTCTTGCTTCTCATCCTGTATTTTATGCAGTGAGGGCTAGCAAAGACACAGCCTTCCCACAGCAGTTTCTATCCAAACATCTGATATTTTAGCCCTGCTCTTCACATCTCTGTGTGTTCATGTTTAAACAAAACCACTCTTCATCTTTCTTGATGGTGTCCTAGTTCTGTGTTGCTCACATCATTGTGCCATATGTGCAGTATGGATGTGTTATTCCTAGTGTAGCAGTTAAACCCCATATGCTCCAGCCTGTGGGAAAGAAAATATTATACATACAGGCAACAGGCTATCTCTCATGTAAGTGTTTGTTCTATGCATTAAAATGGACTTTCCAGTAAGATTCAATATTCATCATTCTTGAGTTATTCAAGCAAATTCTTCAACCATGCTTGAAACTCATTAATTTCCTCCCTAAAAGTCAGGAGCAGTATGTACCACTGTGATATGATGTCCACATAAACAGCAAGCAGTACACAAGAGGAAGTGAGGAGCACGTAAAACTCCAGCCCCGGGAGCTGCTGGCTCACAGCACTGGCTATGAGTTTTACTTTGCTATATAGATATAGGGTTCTTTAATACCTCAAGATGGCATCAAGAGAATAAGCCACAGACTTGTTCCCAAGGAATTGCTTTATTAATTTAGAGGAGTAAATAAGGGAACTTGGCCAAAGTTCAAAAGGACACCACACAAGTTAGACAAAAATGTTCCCCTACAATACTGATTCAACATATACTATTAACCCATAGCACTTAAGGCAAAATACAACCAATTCCATAATGCTTAAATCAAGATTCAATCCAACAACACATAAATCAAGGTTCAATCCCTCCAGATCCAAACTACCCCAAGCATCAAGAAAGGAGTAAAGAGAAACAGAATGATCAAGAAGAGAGAAGGAGAAAGAGGGAGAGAGAGCTATCACTGAAGCCTTGTAAAAGACCAGCTCTCACACATCCACAAGGCAGGGCTGTGACTTGTGGCAAACACATGCCCTTGGTTTTATCTGCTCGGGTCCCCTTGAAAAACTCGCTCAGGTGGAATCTCTGACCCAGCAAACACTCTGGGGTTCCAGGCCAGGGTGAAGGGAAGTGTTCTCACTGTCCCTGCCAATTTGAGCTGGGTCAGGGGCTGCAGGACATGTGGTGTGTTATAGTTTTCCCAGGCTGTCTGTGACTGACAGCTACGCTGAGGCTTCCCCATGTGGGTTCCAGTGGCTGTAATAAAGGATATGATACCACCCTACCCCTGTGAGGTTGGACCCACAAGTTAGTTCTGACCCAGTAATAACTTATCTAGTGTCTTAACAGAGCACTCAAGAGAAAACGAGGAGAACATGGTCTCTACAATCAGTGTATGTCACCTTCTGTTTTAGTGTTACCTATGCATGACAACCTTCTGAAGGGTATTCTGCTGTTGTATATTGTGGTCTTTAGCACAGCCAAGTAGTAAATTATGTAAGTTAATTCTGCAGTAAAGTTTAAGGCTAATTCTTTATTATTCCAGAATCAAGCACTATGTAATGCAGAGATAACTTAGCACCCTTCCTATATAAAGAATATGAGTAATGAGACAACATTATGTTAAGAAACTGGTTGACATAAACAGTAAATGGACTGTGCTCTGTTCAAGTCAGTTCATGATGAATTACCTTTTTAAGAAGTTATCTTTTTAAGTAAAAGTTTAAGACTTCATTGTCATCCAGGGTGAGATCTCAACTGCAGAGAGATTTTACAATGAAGTTATGATTTCAGTGTGTCTAGAATAACTAGTATTTCCTGTATGCTTTGGGAGTACCCAGCTGACTACAAATTATTTAAATAATATGAAAAAGAACATTTGAGGATTTAAACTGTGATGTCCATGTTCCCAGTAGAACCATATGGTGTATGCTTGCAAGGCTCTTCTTGATTTACAGATTTTAGAAAGTACCCTAATATATTATTATTAAAAGTACTACAGTGAGGTGGTGTGTTTTTAAGTGCCTACTAGCTACCCAAAGATACCAGTGTCTGTTGTGATCTTCGGAACAACCAAGTGTCTCTCTTCTCCCTTGATGTGGTCCTCTTCACTTTTTTCCAAGCGTTCCTCAAATATCTAAAAACAGTTAAAGTCATCAAAACCATTCAAAGAAAGCCAAAAAGAGAGACAGTTGCCTCAAGTTTGTGTCTTGTAAACACTAGTATAACACAATCTTAATGTAAACCATCACTCTTTTAGCACATCACTTTTGATCGTTAAAATTCAAGGATGAAGGAATAATAAAATCCATACCAAGCCCAATGCTATTTAACAGCCAGCAAAAAGGAACATATATTCAAGCTCCAAGCTGGTCAAATTCACAGGACATTTCTAGCTGTCAGCCTTCCAGCTAGAAAACAGGCCCTGACATATTTTAATTTACATTTCTGAAATACAGTTTAATTTCTCTGAGCCACTTGAAAAGTCTGATATACAGCAATAAGAGGAGAACCCAGCACAAGACGTGATGTATGAATGTCTGGGTAAATTCATCCATCATCACCAGGAAGGGGAGGAAAGGGAAGGGAATAAGACATCAGTACTGTCCTGAGGAGAGCATCACTGAAGGGACAGAATCAGGAGCACTTGCACAGAAGGACAGGAGAAAGACCTCTGCCACTTATTCAGCTTCTTACAGTTCAAAAGGCCTGTGCGGCTCTCACAGCTTCTCTTCAGGCACATCAGACAATATTTGTTCCAAGCATTCTATGGGAAGGAAAGGCAGAATGACTACTGAAAATAGCTCAATAACAAGTAAGGCAAGGGTGTTGGTCTCCTCCCCCTCCATGACACCCAGAGTTTTCACCAGAGAATACAGCAAGAGAAAGGCTGAAATTCAAAATGTAGTTTCATTTGGCCTAATCTGATGAATTGGTGCATAGTTGTTGGGCTGGGGAGGTGGTTGTGTTTTACTTTTCTGATCACTGAAAACAGAGTGCAGATATATTTGTCAAGTTTTGGTTTTACTATCAGTGATCCAAAAAAATCAATTAGTGATGCAGCACATTCTGGAGTTCTTTGGTACTTATCAAGCTGTAGAACTAGCGAATCACCACAGCAAAAACACTACGCTGTCAAAGCAGATCCACTCAGGCTGGTCAGCTCTGAGATCACAGTCCTGCACTTAATGAAGGGCCTGATCTCTGTGGAGGATGAGGCCAGATGGAGACCACATGAGCCTGCCTTGGCAAGGACTCTGGCCCAGATTCTGAAATCTGCATGCATATTAGATAATTCTCCAGTGCCAAAGAAGGGATTTAAACCTTCTGTTTGAAATATTCATATCTATTTCTTACCTCTACCAAACTCCTCAGTTCCCAAATTCACCTCTTTTTTAATCTGGTCCCTCAGGTAGACTTCCTTACGCTAAGAGGAACAGTGAGGGAATGAGCAAAACACACATGTGTGCACGCAGCCTTCGAAAGGCACATTAACAGCAGACAGCATTTCAAGCTCTATGATAATATAGTGCATTAAAATGCACTCCTAATACATTATTTGTTGTGTGACTGAGTAGAAACGGCATATGCAAATTGATTCTAAGCATGCTATGTAATTCCCATGTATATGAGCTGTGCAAATGGGAATTCAAGTTTGTTATGAGCACTGACTGAGACGCGATCTCTGGTTGTTTCATTTTTTTCTAACTCTGAGTCATCAGTCTCACTGCGTGATAATGAATTTGAATACCAGTCTGTATAATACCTTCTCATTCTCAATCATATACCCTCCTGTCATCATATCATTTCTAGGGAAATGCAGCTGGAATTACATCCCTCAGTGATGAGGTGAGAGATTGCTTTTTCTGGAGGAGGAGGAAATATTTGTCACCTTAATAACTTTAAAATTGATACTTTCAAGAACTGTCTGCATTACAGTGTCATGGAGCTTGGGAGCATTGTATCCTTTGCCTGGTGAGTTTTTGTCTTCATGGCAACTGAGAATATGCCCACTGGGCTCAGAGAGGGCAACACGACATGAGTGAGTGAAGTGACACTGAGTGGTATGCAGCCATGAAAAGCAAATGCAAGCTGAATCATCCATTTGCAGGACCATGTTGTTCATTGATGCAATTTTCAGTGTGCTCTTAAAAATTTATGGTGGCTTAGAGGGGTCTCTTTCCCACTATTCTCATTATTCTATTTTTTCCCCTCACACATTCTTTCAAGTGCCGGTTATGAAGTTATGACCCTAGAGACAATGTCTAGCCTGGAGTTGCCTATGGGGGATATGTGGCTTATTTGTGACTAGGAAAAGAATATTGAAAGTGGGATGACAGATCTATAGACATACTGCCTCTTCCATGAATTAATCCTGAGTCTTCTGTAAAGAGAAAAAGATTCTCGAGTAACAAATCCAGGATATATTTCCAAGTGGTTGAAGTCTTAGGTTTGAGAAGCCATGGAAGGATAATAAAAACTATATGGACTGAGGCAGATGACTGAGTGGCAGCTCTCTTTCTGCCTATATGCATCAGAAGAAATTTTCCTTGAGAGCAGCTTAACCCATGATTAATCCCACACAGCCTAACCAGGCCACCAGCACAGTTTACAGCATTTCTGAAAGGATGTGGTGCTTACACAAGGAGAAAAGCTGACTGCCTCAAAGGGAGAAGCCTTTAGCAGGAGAGCATGCTGTGCAGTCAGGGCACAGCTTCCCGTTGCCAGGCAAAGCTTCCCACCACCAGTCACAGGCACAAACCACTCCCGCCTCCTAACCACCAGTGCACCCCTTCACCTCTTGAAGCTGCCTGCACACAGCAGAGAAGACAATTTCCTCCATCTGCCTTTGACACACAACAGTGCACGCAGATATCTGTATAAACACAGAGCAGCCTCGACTGACGGATGGGGAAACTCCATGCAGGGTATCCTGATGTCGTCTCTGGAACTCAGGAACCTCAGTTCAGGAGCTGACAGGCTTATCCATGGTCTCTTACAACCTCACCCAATTTCATACAGCAACCTTAGCAGTTAGGCAGCAAATGATCCAGGCTTCAGCCTCCTTCAGCCAGAGGTCGAGCTGCTTTTATCAGCTCCTCAGATCATCACTGAACCAGTTACAGATGCTCCACTCCTCCTGAAGGAGCTAAGCTACATGACAATAAAGTTTAGTGACTGCAACACTTATCCAGGTTATAGGAAATCCTAGCTATGGTACCTATTTATGAATTATTTGTGTACTATACCATAGATGGACAATTTAGGCACAAAACCAACACCCAGCCTCTTCTTTTCACTGTCCAAATCATCAGCACGGGTGATGATGTACCTTCTAACTCTTATTTTTCCATCCTGATGGGTTTTGCATTTTTTCAGTGGAGGCTGGGGCAGGATGTATGATGAGGAAGGGGTAGGATGGACATACAGAGATGGACACAGAATGAATAAGGTCAGGGAAAGACCAGAGTAAAAAGCAAAAGAATGGAAAACAGAAGAGAGACTTCTAAGGAAATACCATTGATAGGGAGTCTGAAACAAGTTTCAGATCACATGCAAATGGACAGAGAACTAATTCTGAAGGGCAGGAAGTGATAATAACAGGAAGGAAAGAATGTGGAGAAATACCACAGGATTGGGGTACAACAATTTAATAAACAGAATCCAGAGAGAAAATATGAGAAGTTAATGAGGACAGCATAGCAGTAGTATACCTTTCATCCAAGAACTTGCTAATTAATATCTTATTCCTCTAGTTTTGCTTTCTAACAAATTGAGACACGCTGGTAAAAGTGTATGTTTCCATCGCCCGCTAGTGCCAGGTCCCCTTTGGAGATGTGCAGCAGCTGGGAGCCGTTGGCCACCCTAGGAAGAGCCCAAGCTTCTTGGAAACCTGAAAGGGATCAAGAGCAGGAAACGGAGAGATCTTTTTGCCCCTCTTATTAAAAATAAACATTGTAAATTGCATCCAAAAGTCTAAAGTAAAAGGTAGTTGAGCTCAAAGAGCCATGCACATGACCACTTAACTAAAAAATGTCAATAGGTAATTGTCCTTCAGTGTTGCTGACCTTACTTGACTTTGTGTTGGATACTATTCATGTTCATTTAACATTACTTGCTTAGACATTGAACAAGACGTATGTAAGAGCTGGAGTCAAATAACAAGAACATGAAAACTTTCCCACTCTGTTTATTCATTTATTTATTTTGGATGTGAAAGTTTATTCTTCCAGGCTTAAAGGTCAAATGAAGAAACAGGAGCATGGAAACTCGGCAGTGGAGAGAAGAGATTTATAGACTGTTTAAAATCCTTTTGATCTTCATTTGTCCACACTTTATTGATTAATTTTCTTATTATTTAGTTTTACTTGTACAAACTTAGTGCTAACTGGCAGAATACTGTGCACTCATGTAAAATGTAGAAATATGTACTTTCAAAACTGATGTTTATGCATTTCAGGTAGAGATGTGGAAAGTTTAAGGAACATCCTCTCTACAGGGGATTTAGTTACAGGTGCTATTAAACTTATTGTTGAGATTTGATTTAGTCTAATTTAGTCAAATCTCTGCTACAACACAGCAATTCTCAACATGTCTTTAAAATTTGTATCACAACCTGTTCCTTAAAGCTGTCTTCTCCCACCCAGATGTCTTACTGTGATTGCTTAACCCATTGCAGAGTTTCTCCACTTCTTCCCTGAACCAGCTTAAATTCTGAAAGTGAAATTCTGAACTGAAAGTCTTTGGCCTCTAAAAGAAGTTGTAGAATACTTCCTGCTCTCTAGAACCAAGAAATTATTCAAAAAAGACCCAGTTTGCAGTTTTGACCTACTACATCAGAGGACTCATCTGAAAACCAAGTAGTGTATGTGGCCACTCTACAGGACCACAGCTGATACCCTCGGGAGGTAGAGACACGACCCCAGAGCAGAGACACTGGTGAAAATGGACCACTTGATTCCTGTATTCAAAACAGGTGTGAAAACACATTAGTTGTTCACACCCCAAAGACCTTTCAAACCTCTGTGGCTGGTCATACACCTTAGTGTTTTGTTAATCATCATTAGTGAAAAGCAAAGCATGGGATTGGCAGCTGAATGAGTAACAGCTGCAGATCATTTGTAGAGCCAAGGGCTCTCAGTTTCAGCTGATATGTTGCAGATTAACTAGATACTATTAATTTCTGATGCATCACAGCTCCCCTGGGATACTAATATTCTTGATAATTCTGAAACCATAAACCAAACTGAAACAAAACCATTGTTAACCACGAACCTTTCTTTCTTCCTTTTAATATCGCAAAACAGAATAGTTAAGGTGGAAAGACACCTATAATAAAAATAACTTAGTGCTCCTTTTGCATAAGAATAGCCATGTTTTTTACAAATATTAGGGAGTCATCCAAGTCTGTTGCGCTATGAAAAACAAGAAAAATATTTTCAGAGATCTGCCTCTGAAACCAAAAGATAGACAGGACTTAACAGTCAGAACAGCTGATGCACTCTGAAAAATGTGCATGGCCCCAGTATGTGTTTCATAAAACTATGTTTTACACTTTATAGAGCTCGAACTGGCCATGCACACTTTATTAAGTATGTGGAAACAGCTGTTCACAATTAAGTTCTTTATTCTTCAAATACCTACTACTGGGCACAGAACTGACTGCCATATGTTAATCCAAGTCACTGATCTATATCTCTGTATAGACATACTCCACAGTATTCTTAAACTGCTTCTCTTTCTAATTATGTTCATTTTCCTGCATAGTAAAAAGATGGAAACTCAGAGCCCAGTTCTCTTCTCATTCACACCAGCATGAATCAAGGCCATGGAGCTGTGCTGATGAAAGCAGATGTAAAATAGAACGATGGTCAGATCCCTAGAGTCCATTTTACTTTTTGCAAGTTGCATATCTAAAAATTAAAACAAACACCTGCCAAGCTGCTACCAGTAAAAGAGGTCAAACTTTCAGAGAACAGCAGAGCTTCTCTTCGTAACAGATATCCTTTCCACAGGAAGGAGGAATTGTGTGTCACCACTGTTACTCATAAACCATGCAAACAGGCAGGAACAGCCTGGTTAGAAAGCTTTCCTTGACTCTGCATACACCTTTTCCCTTGGCATTATTAAAATATGCAGGAATGGAATATTCTGTTACTTCTGCAGAACAAGATACGCAAAGGAAACGGTTTGGCAAGCTTGTTTCCAAGTGTAAAGGGTTTTAGTTCCCAATAGCCTTGCCAACAAAATTAAAGCTTTTCAAAAACACTCAAGTTAGTCTTTCCTTAGGATGCATTGAAATGTTCCTAAGGCCACTAAGGTACTTCCTTTCTTTAGAATTCTTTGTGTCCAAATGACAATTAATTACCAAGGATGAACATGTTCCAACAGATGCTTAAACAAAATTCAGGAAAGTAACTCCCTCATACGTTTGAGGCTGTCTGATAGAGCAAGATATTTGAACAGGTGTTCAGTTTGAGCAAACACTGAATTCTGGATGCAAAATCAGACCGAAACCCTGAATCTACTGTTTAGAGAGGACACATTTCCTAATGCCCACATAGTAAGCAAAAGTTCAGTCCCTTGTCTGTTTGTTAACTGTGTCCAGCCCCAACACAGCAGTGACATAGAGCACCAGAAAATCAGGTTTTTTGGCATGCCTTCCTTTCTGGGACGTGCAATCAGCCCTGCATGAAGCTCCCTTGGAACTTAATCTCACCAGGACAGGATAAGCACAGCAAACACTGCTCAAAGGAAGGCCAGTTCCCAAGCAGTACTGGCTGTGAGACGTGAGTGCTGTAATGGCACATGGCGCGTCACAAAAAGTCCTCAACTGAGATCATTTGCATTTCCCACTTCCCACCCTGAGTGTTCCATTGTAAGAATGGAGGTATTTGAAATAATACTGAGCCTAGTATTTATGTAGAAATCAAGTTTAGGCAAGATGTGCAGTGGCCATATGGTTTCTATAATACATCACAATCACATAGGCTTGAATATGTGATAATAGTTTCATAGGTAATGGTTTAATACCAGCCATATGGTAGCAGTATAGATACAGCTGCTAGGAGAAAGGTCTGGGCACAATCAAAGGGATTGAGTCAGCCAGTGTTTGCCAAACTCACAGGATTTAGCCACAGTAATAACTAGATTTTACCTTGTGTTTTTCATAATAATTTCCCTGATGAAACTATGTTTTATAATGGTCACACTAATACTTCACTTGCTCCAACAGGCTGAAGTCATGTGAAAACTGGTGTTTCTTTGAAAGCTAGGAGGAAATTGAAGATTAACTTCAAGGTTCTTGGAAAAGCAACACAAATCTTCATTAGGGGAGTAATGAGCATTAATGCACTGTAACTAAAATGGTCTGTTACCTCTTCTTGTTATAAACAGGATGATAGATGGGAGACCATTTCCTCTTTCTGATTACCATTGCAGTTCTAATGACTTTGGTGCATAAATACATGATTGAACTGATCACAGAAAAAAACAAGAGCATAAGGCAGTGATTTGGTCTTATAACTATCTTTGTCCCTCTAGAGACAAAGCCATTTAATGTTAATGTTAATGTTAATGACATGGATAGTACACAATGACAAAAATGTTCATGTCTTCCTATGAATTTTGGAGGGAAGGTTTTTGCTGTTTTCTCTCTAACATTACAGGACCTGTTGTGGGTGATGTACCTAAAAGGAATAACCTTCATGTCCATGGATTTCCTCTTCCTTACACTATTTCTCATTTACTACCATCCTTCAAAACAGATTTCTAGTTACATCTTATGAGGATATGAGTTAGTGTACCAGACCTAGTACCATGCTCCATTAGTGTGCAGTGCTTTGAAATGCTTGAGAAAAGGATGATGTTTTGACACAGGACAGGGGTATTCAAACTATTGTTTCCTTATAATAACTTTTTAATCGCAACCGGAAGAAATGTGAGTTATAAATTTGCATAGAATCACATATAAATATTATCAAGCAAAAAATCTACATTGAGACTGCATAAATATTAGTCACTTAAGATTAAAAAGTGTTCCTCACACATTGCAATTATCCCATTGTTAAGTAGTCAAAAAATAAGGAAGTCAGAAATTCTCTTGGGAAACAGTCCAAGTTTTAAGACATTAAATTGTATTGTAAAGACACTAAACAGTACCTCCGCTATCAGGCTGCACCCTGTAATAGACAAGCAAACAATAAATCATAAATAAACTAACAAAATACCATTATTATATAGGATTTTTAATATTTATAGTGCTTCTTTAAATAATTTCAAAGATAGGTTCAATTTTTTAAAATATTTTTATTCTTCAGTACAATTGTAATATCTTAATACCATGTACAGTATATAATCTAGGTTAATCCCTAAAGGTAGAAGACAAAGAGAGAAACATGTTACCTC